CCTCTGAGGGTTGTCAGTCCGAACCCTACTCCTTTCTGTCTCTGGCTCTATTTTGTCTTTTATCTGATGCGATACTCATCTTGAAAGAATTGTAGCATCCATATGTAACTTTTTCAGTTTACTGTTGATGAGAGAACTGGTTATTTGCCGTCCTTCTCCTATTGGCCGCCGGTCTGTTTGCCCCTGACCTCGGGCGCTGACGAACTTTCAGCCGTCATTCACGGTGGGACCCTGCGTACGCCACGGTATCAACACGAGTGCAGGCGAGCCATGGTCAGGAGGCCCAGGGTCCGAGGCAAGGTGTTTGCTCTTTCTGAACCCAGCTTTCTCATCGGTAAAGGGGGCTTTGGATCAGTTCAGCGAGTAGCGAGAGTTCACCCCAGTGGTTGCAGGCTGAGTAGTAGCAGTTCAGGCCAATATTTATCGAACAGGTAGAGCATGCTTTTTACTAGGCCGGGAAAGGGGCTGTGGCGAGGAGGCAGACCAGAAAGTAGCAGCCTTGAGAGCTACACTCCAGAGGAGCAGAAGCCCCGGAGCAGTGGGTGTCCACCTTCCCGCCGCCGGGCCCCTTTCGTACAGCTCCTCGGGCTGTGGCGACCCCCAACCATGAAGTTATTTTCGTCGCTACTTCATAACTGTCATTTGGCTACTGTTATGTCCGAGGCGACCCCTGTGAAGGGGTGGGGTCGCGGCCCACAGCTTGAGAGCCGCTGCAGAGACTTTCAGTCCGAAAAGCAAATGCAGCGCCCCCTTCTCTGCCAGTCCCCGCGGCCTAACTGCAAACCTGCCTCCCTCTGCCGCTGGGAGATATCAGCTCTGTGCCACAGGACTGGGTCTGTTACGCTGGGCGGCCCTGCTTGGTAGCTGGAGACACACTGGCCTCTCTGGCAAGCAGCAGGCTGCATCCCTCGTGTGCCTGGCCCGGGATGGAGCCCGGGACCTGGCCCACCGGGGCTGCGCTCCAACCAACCAGCTGCCCGCCGGGAACCAGCTTTGAGTCCCTGTTGTGGCTCGCACAGGGGTGTCTTTAACCTGCGCGCACCATCTGGTAACTTTCTATTTTAACGACTCTTTCCTGCTAACTAGATTCTGAGCTTTTAAAACTATTTTACATTTATGGGACTCTGGACATTCATGACCTGGGACAGAAAGTCCCGGTCATCCTGCCGTCTGCACGGTCCTGCCTTTGATCTGAAACGAGAAAACGTGCGATTCCTGAAAACAGTTCGTCTCACGAGCCAGCGTTTCCAAACGTGAGGCCCGTGAAATGAAAAGCAACGAAGAGCCCCGCTGGCGAAGGCCCCGCGCCCCTCTGCCGCTGGTGGGTGTCTCCCTGCAGCTCTGGGGGCTCGGCTCATCCTGGGCGCTTCCACCACACCTGTTTGGAAGCATGCGCGGGGCGGTGCTGCTGGGTGGCTAATGCCCCTTCCGCAAGGCTGGGCCAGTGCCCAGCGGCCAGGACAACTCCAGAATGTGCTGAGTGGACAGAACCGTGAGCCACGGATGCCGTCCTCACATGCTCCACAGATCTGTTCTGTGAATCAAAACCTCCGTGGACACACCCTCGGGCACCGTCACCCGGGTGAATGCAGGGTCCTGGTGGTTGGTCACACCTTCCAATGTCGTGTTTCCTGCTTACTTCTGTCTTTCAGTTTTTGCTACGTCCATTTCTGTAGGGTTTTTTTTTTCTTCTTTTGTAAAGAAATGGAAATCTCCTGCAGGGCCACCGGGCAGGCCAGCACAGAGGGGGCTGGGCAGGCTCGGGACTGCTGGATTCGGTCCCCCTCTGCTTCTGGCTGTGAAGACACCGATATTATAACTCAAGGCAGAATCTCCTCCCCCTCCTCCCCCTCCCCCTCCCCCTCCCCCTCCTCCTCCTTCCCCTCCTCCTTCCCTCCTCCTCCCCCCCTCCTCCTCCTCCTTCTTTTTAAATTGTTCCTCTTCCTTTTGCCCCCAAGAGTTTAATTTTCAAGGCTCTTTAATAAACACTCTCCACTACTTCCTAATTGTAGTTCTGCAACTTTTATATTTCAAATACACTTATATTCCTTCTTTACTAAACAATATGACCTACTTTGTTGGTTTGGGGGCTATAGGAAAATATGTTTACATAAAACTTAGAATGTATAAAGGAAAGAAATATGTTTTGAGCTTAGAAAATTAAGAATTGAATATATAGAGAAGAAACAGTTCAGGTAAAGTCAGGCATCAGAATTAGATCTGGAATTATTATGATTTCTTTGTTACTGAAATACAAAATGGTTTAAAATGCATAATGGAAAAGTTAATAGACTAGACTTTAATTTCGAAACTACTATACTTTAAAAGAAACTACATTTAAAAGGTTATCATATTGCCCAGCTGGTGTGACTCAGTGGTTGAGCGTCAACCCATGCACCAAGAGGTCACTGGTTCGATTCCTGGTCAGGACACATGCCCAGGTTGCGGTCCTGGTCCCCAGTGGGGGGCATGCAGGAGGCAGCCAATCGATGTTTCTATCTCTCTCTCCCTCTCACTTCTTCTCTCTAAAAAAAAAATCAATAATGGAAAAAAAAACTTTAAAGCCTTCTCTTTATTATTATTTTTTTTATTGTTGAAAGTATTACAGATGTCCTCCTTTTTCCCCATTGACCCCCCTCCTTCCCACTCACCCCCCTCTTGCCTTCCCCAGCCCAGTGTCTGTGTCCATTGGGTGTGCATATAAGGTTTTTGGTTTATTTCTTCCATCCCCCTGAGGCATGTTAGCCTGTTCTCTGCTTTCATGACTCGGTCTTTTTAGCTCGACCGCTTATTCTGTGCATTGTGTTCCACAAATAAGTGAGATCGTGTGGTACTTGTCCTTCTCCAACTATCTTAGAATATACCCTAAGAAACCTGAAACACCAATCAGAAAGAATATATGTACCCCCATGTTCATAGCAGGACTGTTTACAATAGCTAAGATCTGGAAACAGCCCAAGTGTCCATCAGTAGACGAATGGATAAAAAAGCAGTGGTACATGTACACAATGGAGTACTACGCAGCTGAAGAAAGAGAGATCTCGTATCCTTTGAGACGACACGGAGGGACCTGGGGAATACTATGCTAAAAGTACTTCTCTTTAGATCTACCAATCCCACTTCATTCAGAAAATATTTTTGAGCAACTACTAGGCGCCTTGTGGTTTCTAGTTATTAGAAATTAAATTTCAAGTACCAAGGACTAAATCTACCCCAAAGAAATAATCAGAGCCCTGGCCAGTTTGGCTCGGTGGTTATAGCGTCGGCCTGCGGGTTCGGTTCCCACTAAGGGCACATACCTTGGTTGCAGTTTGTCCCCGGCCCTGGTTGGGGTTGTGCGGGTGGCAACCACTCGATGTGTCCCTTTCACGTCGATGTTTCTCTCTCTCTCTCCTCCCCTCCCACTCTATCTGAACAAAATATGGAAAAATGTCCTCGGGTGAAGATAAAAAAAAATAATAATAATCAGATAATGACACATTCATTTAACAAGGTTGTGCCCTGGCCAGTTTGGTTCAGCGGTTGGAGCATCGACCTCCGGGTTCGGTTCCAGTCAAGGGCACGTACCTCGATTGCAGTTCTGTCCTTGGCCCTGGTCGGGGTCGTGCGAGAGGCCACCAGTCGATGTGTCTTTCTCACACTGATGTTTTCCTCTCTCTCTCCCTCCCACTCTATCTGAAGATAAATGTAAAAGTATCCTCTGGTGAGGATTAAAAAAACAATTTTTAAAAACAAGGGTGTAATTAATAATAGTAAATATTGAAAGCAAGTTAAATGTCCAACGTAAGGCATTTAGCTAAGCAAATTATAGTACATCCATGCAGTAAAGTGGACTGTAACCATTACACGGAAAAGTGAACATGCTCTAATATATTGTGGTGGGCAAAGGGCTGGTAACAGGTGGACCAATCCCAACACTGTTTGAATATACAAATGAGTAGAAAAAAGTTCTAGGTTAGTATACCACCCTCCAAATAAAAAGTATCAACTGATGAGCAGTTTTTGTTTTTTTTCATATTCTTTATACTTCTCTATCCACAGTGAACTTTGATTATCATGACAAGCATACAGATATTTTTATTTATTAAAAATGGCCCCTCAAGAGTCAGATGTGTGGATTTAAACAACACCATCATTGGTCGCTGCAGCTCACCGAGAGAAATACAAGCTCTTACGTCTTTCGGAGGTTCAGTGTTGCATTTAATGAACACAAGCACCGAGGATAGAAACCTAGTGCAAGCAGGTTGTCTCTCAGGCTCAGGCCAAAGATCCGTTTTGCAGACACACCTTGGGTGGCACAGCTGGCTCGGTGCTCCTGGGCGTCACCTCTTCTCTGCCTTACCTGTCTGAGCACATGCTGACTGCCCGCCCGGGACGACCACAGCGACTCCCGGAGGGTTCCCAAGCGCAGGCAACTCGGGATGGGTGGGACCTTTCACAAGGGGGGAAATACCCCTTTGAGGTTGATCTTTGTCTAACATTTATCTTGGAAATACGAACTTTATCTCAAAAGAGACACAGAGACACAAATAACTCAAGGGATGGGTGGAGGGAAACCCAACAGTCACTTCTGCACCAGACTGTCCCTCTCAGTCTGTCCAAGACTTAGAGTTTGGTGCACTTTTTGGAACATTTTTGGATTGATTTTAAAGAGAATGAGAACGGGGGAGCGAGACAGAGGAACGCGGATTTGTTGCTCCACTTACGGATGCATTCACTGGTTGCTTTTTGTATGTGCCCGGACCGGGGATCGAACCCACAACCTTGGCGTATGGGGACGACGCTCTAACCCGCTGAGCTACCCAGCCAGGCCGAGCGGTGTTAACTTGGAGGTGGAAGAACCCACTGTGCCGCCGCTTGTTTTCCGGGTTCCCTTGCTCCAGAGGGGCCCTGGGGGCAGGACGCGGGGGGCAGGAGGCTGTGCGCTTCTATTTGCAGGTTGACGGCGGTTGGCACGGTGCGTGCCCTGCCCGTAACCACGTGTGCTGTTCTTTCCCCAGAATGCCGAGTCGTCAAGTCCACGTCGTACACCAAAATAGCGTCGTCCTCCCGCAGGAGCACCACCAAGAGCCCGGGACCGTCCAGGCGCAGCAAGTCGCCGGCCTCGACCAGCTCAGGTGAGGGGCAGAGGACACTGCAGAGCGCTGGGGACGCGTGGGGGGTGGGGGTGGGCGGAGCCTGAGGGGGGGACCCGGTGTCAGTTTGGTGCGTGGTGCGCGTGGGCGTGCGCGTGCGCGTGCGCGTGGGCGTGGGCGTGCGCGTGGGCGTGCGCGTGGGCGTGCGCGTGGGCGTGCGCGTGGGCGTGCGCGTGGGCGTGCGCGTGGGCGTGCGCGTGGGCGTGCGCGTGGGCGTGGGGGAGCAGGCTGCTGGGTCTAACACTGACTGTGAGACAGAGCATCAGGCTGGGGACTAAGGGGGGCAAGGCTCAGAAACCGATTGGCCCCCAGGTAGATGGGATGGTGCCCGGCTGGCGCTGGCTCTGCCACAGGATGGGCTTCCCGGGCTGAGGGCCTCCGGCTCCGGAAGCCTCTGCTCAGACTCTGCGCTCGGGCCTGGCTTCGGAAGTTCCCGTTTGTATCTGCTAAGTCTCCTTACCACGGGCCCAGCCAGGCCGGGAGCTGGTGCAGGGACCTGGCCTGCGTCCTGTCTCTGCCGGCTCCCAGGGCTGGTGTGGGGGCAGGATGTGTGCTCATGAGATGACCAAAGTGACCTTAGTGACATGAGTAAGTTAGGTTGTTTTTGTCTTTGGTGGGTTTGGACTCAGGTATGAGGTCTATTTCGCTATTAACTATTCCTTGACTGTATCAGTTATGCAGTGAAATTACTGAATGACACACAGCAAAGAGATGGTCACCTGGCTTCACGAGGGTGGCGCAGCTCTTAGGAACAGGTGACCTTAAGTGACATGAGTAAGTTAGGTTGTTTTTGTCTTTGGTGGGTTTGGACTCAGGTAGGAGGTCTATTTCGCTATTAACTATTCCTTGACTGTATCAGTTATGCAGTGGAAATTACTGAATGACACACAGCAAAGAGATGGTCACCTGGTTTCATGAGGGTGGCGCAGCTCTTAGGAACAGGCCTGGGGGGCCGCTCCGAGGCCTCTCGTGTCCCCGTGTGGGCCCGGGACGTGAGGTGCTGCAGGCGGGCACTGCCAGGCTGTGACTCCGTGCCCCACTGGCTGCTCTGCCCGTCGCGACCTCCCTGTGTACAGCGGAGCCTTGGAGAGGGACCCTCAGGCGCTGGGGAGTGGAAGCAGCCAGCCCAGCTCGTTCTGAGTCACCGTCACTGGGCGGCTCTGGTTCCCCGGACGGTCCCCAAAGACCTCTCAGCCTCACTCTGAGGTGCCAGCCACGGTTACCGCCGTGCCTCTCGCAGCGTAGCCGATCGTACTCGCCAGGGAGCACGTCTCGGAACACGCTGCCCCTGGCGATGCGGCTTCTTCACGCCCTGGCGCCAGGGGGGGCCGAGACCTGCGCCCTCGGCGGCGGGCTCACCCCGGTGGTGAGCATGAAACGAGACTGCTGAGGGTGAGGTAGGTCAGAGCACACGGACACCAGCCCTGCTCTGAGCACGTGTTCCCGACGACTCTGACCAGTCTGCAGCCTGCAGTCGAGACAGTGGTTAAGGAAGCGTTCCCGACGTGTGCTTGTCACCGTCACCGCACTTGCTGGGAGAGCGAGTGTTGAGCCCTTTTCCAGACCCACTGAATCCAAAACCCCGGAGGTGGAGCCCAGTGACCTGGGTTTTCCATCCGGCGAGTCGGGTGCTCACCGAGGTACAGAGAACAGGGACCAGAGGAAGGGCTTTGACTCTAGATATCGGGGTGAAGAATACAGCTGGCTCGTGGCCGGTTATTGGCATGACAGGCGGGACTTGGCTTCTGCCCCCTGCTGGCTGGAGCAGCAGTGCCGCCTGCCACCCTGGCAACCCCAGAGCGGACCCTAGACACCTGGTGGAGATCTGAAGGGCAGATCAAGGTGACAGTGAGCAAAAGAGAGTGGCAGGTGCCAGCTACCTTTTCGACCTTCAGAGGAGGAGGGTTTCCATCGGAAGACGATCCGGTCCCTGGACACTGGTAGTGGGGAGTCCCTCCCTTCCAGAGACACCCCACCTGCACAGAGGTGTGGCCCCCACAAAGGGTCCGCGAGCTGGAACGGGTGCATGCAGAACCCGGGGAGACCTTGGCTTGTGTTAACCCGCTGACGGGTTAAATCCGGGCTCTTCGAGCGTATTCGGCCTTGACCAGGGGCGTGCCTCGTTCTCTCTGAGCAGACCTGGGCTGCAGGAGGGACTCCCACCGGGCAGGAAGAGAGAAGGAGGTCACGGGCCCGCCCGCGTGTTGCCCCTAAGACCCTCGGCTCTTATACAATCACAAAGGGGTGTGAAGGAGCAAGAAACCCCACATTAACTGAAACACCATCACCACTACTAAAAACATCAACAGTGAATAGAAGAATTACCTGTTCCAAATCAAAACCAGCTCTGACACAGACTGATTTTATTGAATTTCCTCTCTGCTTTGACTTAGTATAGATCATGAATTTTTAAATATCAGGTGTAACTGGGGTGAAGCATCGAATAATGAGCAATTAGCCAAATTCTTATGTCTTTTACAGTGTAGATATTTCAGGAGACTCAGTATGCACTATGGCTATTAAGTTTTTGTCAGTTTTTATTTTATTTATTTTATTTTTATTTTTTTTATTTTTTTTTTATCCTCACCCGAGGACATATTTCTATTTTTTGTTCAGATAGAGTGGGAGGAAGAGAGAGAGAGAGAGAAACATCGACGTGAAAGGGACACATCGAGTGGCTGCCACCCTCACAACCAACCAGGGCCGGGGACAAACTGCAAACGAGGCACGCGCCCTTAGCGGGAACCGAACCCGGGTCTCTCTGGACTGCAGGCCGACGCTCTAACTGCTGAGCCAAACCAGCCAGGGCAAGTTTTTGTCAGTTTTTAAAAAGTGTTGTTTTTTTTTCTTTATTGATTTTAGAGAAAGAGGAAGGGAAAGGGAGAGAGAGATAGAAACATCGATGAGAAAGAACATTGATTGGCCTCCTCCTACATCCCTGTGCCCTGACCGGAAATCGAACTGGTGACCTCTCGGTGCATGGGTTGATGCTCAACCACTGAGGACACTGGCCAGGCTTGTCATTGTTTTTAAGAGTTACGGCAGCTAAATGCTCCTGGGTTTGGGTGGAAGTCTCTTTTCTCTTTTCACTTCATCCCTGTAAGTCAAGGAGGGGAGGGGACGGTCAGATCCCTGCACACCTGTGGGGGGTGGACTCCAGAGCCCAGAGCCGTCTGTCTGCCACTGGGGCTACCACCACAGTGCCCCTGCGCTGTCTGTCTGCGTGTGGCCCCAGTACTGATAGGGGTGCAGGATGGAAACAGGAGAGAGAATTTCTGCAACTCGGATATCACCTTGTAAATAGCAAGGAGCCTGTTTTACTTCAGAAAAGAATCTAAAATGTGACTTAAAATGACTCATGAGTCTAATCTTTAAAAGATTAAAAAATCAATTCTTTAAAAAATGAATATAGGAAATTATTTCACTTTAAAGTTAACTGATAATATAGTCCCTATTCTGTGCCTCTAGAGTTATATAAATCTCATAAATATAACATTTAATTATAACCTTATAAATATAGATGAATGTATCATTTACCAAAAGTAATTTCAGACATTCAAAGAAGCCGATAGGCAAATATATTCGATTTCTTTGTATTTGTTCCTGCCAGCATTCGGAACCATCGCTTTTAGAAGTTTAAAATGGATAGGTTACATTACCTCAAACTCAAAAGATTGCTTCAGACAAGCATTTCTATGTTCTGTTGTTTTCTCAAAGCTCTTTTCAACTGGAGTTGAAGTTAAATAACCTGGTTGATCTGACCAACACTAACTTAAAATTCGTGTTAGGGTGCCATGCCAGGTAATCATTTCCATAAAGAAAGAAGAATCCAAAAGCTGTGGTACATGTACACAATGGAACACTGTGCAGCTGTAAGAAAGAAAGATCTCTTACCTTTTGTGATGACATGGAGGGACCTGGAGAACATTATGCTGAGTGAAATAAGCCAGTCAAAGAAACACAAGTACCACATGATCTCACTTATTTATGGAATATAATGAACAAAATCTGTCGATCAAAAAAATCCAGAGTCATGGAAGTAGGGAACAGACTGACAAACCTCAGAGGGATAGGGGTGTGGGGGTGGGAGTAAATAAACCAAAGAACTTATATGCACTTATGTACAACCATTGGACACAGCCCTTAGGTTGGGGAAAGCAGGAGGGGGGTGTGAGTGGAGAGGAGGGGAGACAATGGGGGAAAAAAAGAGGGGACATCTGTAATACTTTCAACAATAAAAAATAAAGTAAGCCCAGCCGGTGTGGCTTAGTGGTTGAGTGTTGTCCCATGCACCAAGAGGTCGCAAGTTTGATTCCTGGTCAGAGCACATGCCCAGGTTGTAGGCCTGATCCCCAGTGGGGGGCGTGCAGGAGGTGGCCAATCAGTATTCTCTCTCATTGATGTTTCTATCTCTCTCTCCCTCTTTCTTTCTCTCTCTCAAAAATCAAAAAAGAAAATTTTAAAAAAATAAATAGAAACACAATTTTGATCATATTTGTGTGCAATAAAAAAAGAAAGTAGAGCCCTGGCCGGTTTGGCTCAGCGGTTGGAGCGTCAGCCTGTGGTCCAGAGAGACCCGGGTTCGGTTCCCGCTAAGGGCATGTACTTCGGTTGCAGTTTGTCCCTGGCCCTGGTTGGTCGTGCGGGTGGCAGCCACTCGATGTGTCCCTTCACGTCGATGTTTCTGTCTCTCTCTCCCTTCCTCTCTATCCCTCCCACTCTATCTGTACAAAAAATGGAAAAATATCCTCGGGTGAGGGTAAAAAAAAAAAAAGTAGAATCCAAATCCATTCTAAAATCAATATGTTCTTGAAAAATTAACACTTTATTCAAGTTATCTTTAACTGCTAGATCAAAATTAATCTAATGGCCCTGATCACAATTGTGTTTAATGGGAGTCTTTTATGCATATAAAATTTTCCACTTTCTGCCTTTTGATCTAGAAGGTAAGTCATACAACCACTCCTGGTTATATAACTGCT